AGTTCTTTTTTTGTTGTGGGGCTTATGGCTTTGTAAATTTATTTACTGTTATTTAAATGGGATCGTACATCATTTTAAATTGGAAACATTTGTGAGAATATAGGGTTTGGGAGCATTATTAAATCATCAGATTTTAATATGCATAACCAATAGTCTTGGTTACAATTCAGCACAACACTTGGAAAGCAAATTTACAAAATATGCAAAAATGCCTATTACCACATAGTGATGACAGCAGAATAGCCTTAACTGTTTATTAAAATTTTACCCAATATTCCCCACACACAAACTTAAATATGAAACAGTATGATCAATAGTTTTTCACTCCAGATTTCTTTGCTAATGTGAGAAAATATAAGCAGTTCAAGAGTAAGGCCAATGATACGCCATCTCTATAGCATATGTTATATATGATAAAATGTGTTAGATTCTTTTAGAAAGATATAGTGGAATCTTAGTGTTGTGCCCAGATCGCGAAGTCCCCAAAGACCACCAAGGAGCCGATTCCGATGTAAACACACGAGGGTCGTTTATTCAAGCTCGAGCAGGGGCACTCAACCGTCACCGACACAGCGGATCAGGATTGAGAGCCCTGAATTTCAAATCAGCAGGGTTTTTATTGTGGCTACAGCAAGGTTTGGGGATTTTCCATTTAGCAGTTACATGATTGGTTGATATTTAGCAAGCATGGGGTGTACATCGGGGGGATTGGGGGGTGGCTACATGTAGATTTTATGGGAAAAAGGAACAATCAGCACATTGACAGAATGTTCTATAGATAATGGGCCCGGGAGCGTCTGTTTTCTGGGCAGACAGAGGATTGAGTTAGGAGCTGTGTCTTTTTTTTTATCTGTTGTCCCACAGCAAGGACATTTTATCATTATTTTATGGGCACAAAGGAGACTAGGGGAATAGTTGACTTCAGTGAAGTGGAATTTATGACAAGGCCACTTTACTGTCTTATTCCAAGATGAAGTCAAACTTTAAAATGGAGTTAGTTAGGTCTCACATTAGTTCCACTAAATTTGCATACAATTTAAAACAAAATAGTAATAGTGGGACAGTGGGACTGGAAATGCTTTATTCATAAAGAAAAATTCTGTATCATATTATGTTTAATAAATCTACATAATATATTTTATAAACTTCCAAGGGGAAAGATAAACTTCTGAAATAGCAATAAGAACAACCAGTTTAGAGGATACACACACACAAACACTGCAACAAAAACCGGAGTACTCACTCATTTTCATCTGCTGTCATCTATTTCATACCGTCACATCCACAGCAATGTGAAATATTATTTTCATAATTTGGTCTGCAGTTTCTGCTGAAGTGAGTGTTTCACTGAGTAGAGAAAGTAAGGAAAATGAATAAAAATATTCAGAAAATGCACCACCAGTAAAGTTTTCTATCTCTAGTTTTCTTTTACATGTTTCTAAAATGATAGTGAGGTGGGTTTTTGGGGGGTTTTTTTCTTTTCTGGTACCAGGACTCAAACTCAGGATTTGCCTGGCAGGTGCGGCACCACTGAGCTAAATCCCTGGGCCCGTGAGGTGGTTTTTTTTTAGTACAATATTAAATTCAACATGAAAATTTATCTTAAAACTATGAAAATTTAATCATTTTTGTCTTTTTTCAAACTTACATGCTTTTATTTTTAAGTTGTAACACTAAATAACTCAAGTAGGTTCTTATAAGCAAGATGTTTGTGTTAATATAAGAATTCTGGACTCCTTGTGATGAATCATCCTAGTAGTGCCATCAGGAGGGAACCTAACGGCTGTGGGTGGAGTTGAGTGGCACAGTGCTTTCTCAGCAGGCACAAGGCCCTGGGTTCAATCCCTAGCATTGTGTGTACATGCAAACAGAGAGTAATCTAAGGCATATTTCTTTTGCTCTGTGTATCTTCATCTCTAAACATTTCACATAAAAGCAAGTAAAGTATTTCTTCTATCTGAATAGTTTTTTTCCTACCAAACTCATAGTTTTTTCTATGGAATTTGCTGTAAATATATAGTAAGAAGTGTAAATATATAGTATTCCACTAGGTAACAAAAATTCTTGTGGGTTTTAGAAAATGGTCTCTTGTATTCATTCATGATTCATTAAGTGGAGGGAGACATACTTTAAAGTGCTGTCAGAGCAAAAGGTCAGAATAAAATGTTCAATCGTTCTTCATTTTTTCTGATGTATGGCATGAAGTTTTAGTAGCCATGTCATATCACAACAAACTTTCATTTGCATTTGTATTTGATTGCTTTGCATCTGTGAGCTGTTAAGATAAATTACTGCACAAAACTTTTTCATTTAGATTGGTTTGGAATACATACATCCCAGGTCATTTAATCAGGATATAATCCTGCATGGTCCATTCTCTACAAGGTGTGCTTGCTCTTTAAATAAATAGCATTTTGGGTTTGAACTTGAGTCTTTTTGTTGAGCAACATCCCCAGCATGCTTCCTCTCTTTTCTCTTTCCTTTTCGTTTTTCCTTTCCTTTCCTTTTCTTTCTAAGATAGGTCTCACAAAATTGCTAAATTGCTCAGGTTGGGCTGGAACTTCTGATCCTCCTGCCTCTGCCTTCTACAGTACTGGGATTTCAGGTGTGGACCACCACACCCAGTAGGAAATGCATATGTATCCTAGCTATGCCTTAATATTTTTGAGGAAAGGGGCCTATTTTTAAAAATGTATATTTTACTACTTATTAATTTTATAAAATGTTAAGTTTCAATGTGATATTTTCATACATGCCTATAACATAGTTAAAAGTAATTATTTTTCATGATTGGTGAAAATTTGCTTATTATTAGTTTAAGAAATTCCAGTCTAATGTCTACTTGGTTTCTATAACATATTAAAAAGTTATACCGATCTTCTTGAGCCACATAATTTCAGGTGTTCTTGTCATTGTCTGGTCAGCTAATGAGGCAACCAAAGAATCAAAGAGGGAACACATTTCCTGTCCCCACCCTGAGTTCTAGGCAGAAGAGACTTAGTGCCAGTATTCATGGACATCTTGGTCCCAGAGCATTTCTCCTTTCAATTTGTTTACTTTTTAAACTTTATGTTTTAATAGCATCCTGTAACGTGGCAGCCATCTAAAGAGGGGGACAGATTAATTGGACGTGTTATTCTTAACAAAAGAACAACCATGCCCAAAGAATCTGGTGCATTGTTGGGTCTAAAAGTAAGTACACTTTTAAAAAAGTCTCTTTTTTCTTTAGTACTGAGTGTTGAACCCAGGGTCTTGTAAATGAGAAACAAGCACTCTGCCTCTCAGCTTATATCTCCAGCCCTAAAGTATTCTTCTCTTATAGTACCTGCATCATTCAATAAAGTTTCAGACAGTGATTTTTACATATCTTCCTCTTTCCTCCAAAATAAAATTCCTGTAGTGAATGTAGCTTGTTATATATGTACTATTTTTATCTGAATATTTTAAATGTTTTATTGATATAGCATACAGATGTATTTGAAAAATCAAAAGTATAGGAAAACTAAAGCATGCTTCTCTGATATAAAATTTAAGGATGATGTTTACATTAAAGGCATTTTAATGGAATGTAGTAAAGTTAGATAATGTAGACCTCTATTACATTTTAAGCAACAACATAAAACATAGAGATTTTTTTTCTATTACAAAAATATTCATAGTAATACGAAAAGAATAGGTGCATTTAACCCACATGGTTTTGATCTGAGTTACTTAAAAATATTCAAAAACGTTGCTTTAGATCTGTTATTTACCAAGAGATTGTATTACAGTTCTGTGATAATATGGCCTTTTCAAAACCATTAGCCCTTAATCCAAATAAAAAAATGTTCAAACTGGCCATTTAACTTAGTTGTAGAGTACTTGCCTATCATGCACAATGTCCTGGGTTCAATCCCCAGCAAATTCCTCCTTTCAATTCATGTACTCAATAGTATCTTATTGATTAATACAATTAATTTCTCTTGCCATAAAATAATTCTGATCATTTCCATGACTGGTTATGTTCCTAATAACTGTGGATCAAGCTTAACCTTTGCTAATATCTCCTCTGCTTTTAATTACAAATATTTGAGCTCCTGCATTGGGAAAATTGACACTCCATGTTTAATACAGAAGTACCACTTTTTTAGTATTTGGAAATGTGTGTTGCTCTGTAACCCTAACCTGACATCATATATATCTCAATGTACCATAATTTCAGCACAGCACTTTTATAAAATCTATTTTGGTAATTACTCTCTTTTCATTTTTCTTAAAATCATTAACAAATTTTTTAAAATGTAAAGAAACAAAAACATTAAATGTACACTCTATTCTATTTGACAATGTATAAATTATATTGAGAGATAACAGCTTATCTACAAATAGAGTATAACAAGAGCCGGGGATTTAGCTCAGTGGTTCCAGTGCCTGCCTCACAAGCTCAAGGTCCCGAGTTCAATCCCCAGTACAAAAAAAAACATAGAGTATAACTGTTGTGCCCAGATTGCGAAGTCCCAAAGACCACCAGGAGGCCGTTTCCGATGTAAACACACGAGGGTCGTTTATTCAAGCTTAAGCAGGGACTCTCAATTGTCACCGACACAGCGGATCTAGATTGAGAGCCCCGAGTTCCAAATTAGCAGGGTTTTTATTGAGATTACAGCAAGCTTCAGTCATTAGCAGCCATATGATTGGTTAACATTTAGCAAGTATGAAGTGTAGAATTTTGATTGGCTAGGCTCATTGGGGGTTGAAGGGGATTACGTATAGGTTTTTACAAGAAAAATGGGGACAAAGGTTAGTGGTCTACTATCACGTACTGATGGTCAGCAGACATCTTGACTAATGGTCATGACCACCTTGTGTGGATAGTCAGCACGTTAATAGATTGTCCTATAGATAGTGGGCCCGGGACACTTGTTTCTAGGGCAAACAGATGGCTGAGTAATGAGCTTAGGAATCTTGAGTTACAGAGCATGTCTTTTGTCCCAGATTAAGCACATTTAATCATTAATTTGAAAGAACAAAGGAGACTGCTCCATTTTGGACAAAATGGAGTCATTCTGGTCTCACAATAACAAAAGGAAAATGTGATTTAAGAAGTGATCTCAGGTCCAGAGCTCTTCGGTTCTTCCAAATTTGTAGATCAGAGTGCTAAAAAAATAAGAGCATTTTGAAAAAACACAGCTAATCCTGGATAAACATCAGTATTCTGGGTAACATATGCCCCCAAAAGAATCCGCATGGAAGCAATAAGTGACCTGAACATCAGCATGAAACCAATGAAGAGCCAAACTGGACCACCTGTTCTTCCTAGACAGCCGCTTTCATAGCTGATACCTCTCACCTGCATGTTGGACACAGCATTTATCATGAAGAAAGCCAATGTGGAGAACATACCACAGGTGTGAAAATTATGGTTCAACTGTTCCAGCTTAGGATAGCCCACTGCTGTGTCAATCATTATCCACCAACCTGTAAAAAACAATATGCCTGCTACCATGGGAGCCACAGCATTTCTTCTCTCACTCCAGTCAATACATTCACATTCTGACCATCAGAAATTATCTAGGAAGCCTGCCACTCTTATTCCTTAAACATGGATTTTTCATTAAATACTGTATCCCGGTTTCCTCTGATGCCCATGCCAACCCCTGGCGTGGCAGGCAGGAGGAGGCTACACTATAACCTGGCTGGCATCCTCCAGCCCTACCTCAGGCCCCCGAGGACTGTTTATTCTTGTTTGTTTTATAAATGGCATGCAGTGCTAATGTACTATTTTATAAATAGCACATTATTTATATAGTATATCCATAAATATGCTTCTGTATATTTGCATAAATATAAATTTCACAAGTAGTGTATTAGTTAACATAGTATAAACTAGGCTGTGAACATTGTAGACAGAATAATGGCTTCCCAAAGATGTCCCACTTCCTGGATCCTGAGAACATAAGCTCTCACCTGGCAGGAAAATTTGCAGGTGTGATTACATTAAGGATCTTCAAAGGGGGAGCTTATCCTGGGAGATTAGTGAGCCCAGTGTAATCACAGGTTCTTAAAAGTAAATGAGGCAGAACAGAGGGGACAAAGACAGCGATCAGAAGCTTCTATTTAGCTGTTCTCTGTAAGGATGAAGGAGGGAGGTCAAAGTGAAGGTCAGGTCGCCTCCACAAGAAAAAGGATAGGAAATGGCTTCTGGCATCTCTAAAAGAAAGGAGACCAACTGATACTTTACGGCCAGCGAGACCCATTTTGGACTTCTGACTTGCAGAGCTGCAAGATATTAAATATATGTTGTTTTAAGCCACTAAGTTTATCAAGGCAGTAAGTAGAGCTCTGATACAATAATAAACAGCCCCCAAGTCTCAGTGGCTTTCAAGAACCAGAGTTGACTTCTTGCTCATATCCTCTGCTCTGTCTTCATTCCACCTCCCAGGCTAGAGAGGCTGCTCTTGCAGGAGGACATGGGGCTGGGGCAGATGGAAAGGAACAAGGGGAGAGCCACACCCTAGGCTCTTAATGCGCCTGCTCAGATTCACCACATTCACCCGAATTCCAGAAAGCAGCTGTTCTAGCAGGGGCAGGGGTGAGGGTGGGGGTGGGGTGGAGCCAGTGTCTGAGATGTGGTTGGAGAGATGAAGAGCAGATGTGCCGGGTACTTATTCACTCAATAAATACGAGGAATGTGCTTATGTTGCAGAATTCCAAGAGACAGGAGAGACCAATGGGAATTAGGGAGGCTTTCACGTTTAAGGTATATACCAGCTCAACAGATGCCTGTCCAAAGGAAGAGCACTGAACAAAGAAAAGTTTCTGCTTTTATACCTTTTGTCGAAGGGGC